TAGGATATTGTTTTTGTTGGCCTGTTTTTTTCCAAGGGCTAAATAATTTATAATTACAGAGTCAGTAATGTAAAATGAAAATAAACATCTCCCAAAAGACCTACTAACCAATTAATCAGCGTTCACCGAGGCATCCAGGAAAGGGGAGCTTGACATTAAGCTAAATGTGGTGAAGTGTCTTAGTTAAAACTCTGTTGGGTATAAGGAACAGAAACTCATTTATACCAACTCAAGTAAAGGCAAGGTTGCAGTAAACCGTTTTAGGCGCCAAGGGCACAAGTGTAGTGCCCCAGGACCTCATGGAAACTTGGAAAGGTGTCAGGATCTGAGGCTTCTTTCTTAGTTGCTCATCTCTGCTTTTCTCCGTGTCTATTCCCTTATCTGGTTGGTTCTTAGGACTGTTTTTTTCTGCTTACTCCTCAACTTACCCAGCGCCCAACATGTTGGCTTTGTGGCCACACTAAGCCATGGCTGAAGGAGAGAGGGTTTTTTAATCTCCTCCTCCTACAAGCTTAATCAGGTCTGTCCCTTCCCTCAGGATTTTTTAATAACCATAATTGACATTTTTCATTCTTATCTAAATGTTATGTGAATGAAATTTAAGGGATAACTTTTTCTTTGCTTCCTTTCAACCAATTTGCATCCCTCAAAGCTCCTGCAAAATAGAAATTCTGGAGCTGCCACTGGTAACCTCAGACTCAATATTTATGATTTTCCAACTGGGGTTCCCCAAAGCTAACTGACTCAGGCTTTCAGTGTTGTAGTTACAGACTACCAGGAAGAAACCTGATTTACCTAGTTTGGGTCAAATGTCCACCCTGGGGTGGGGCTGGTCTAACATGGTCATGTAGTCCTACCCCTTCAGCAAGTGTAATGGAAACCATTCCCAGAGAGGAGGGCATGGGCATATAGATACAGTATATCAGAATCTTGTCAACTATAGAGAGAAAAGGAAAATACCCTTATGGCCCTGATCTCTGGTCTGATTCATTTATGGGCAGACCTTCAAAACTGGTCTCATCAAAAATGTCTACTCTTTGAGAAGGCTTCAAGATATATCCTGTGAACCTGAAACCATGCAGGATTGAGTCAGAAGTAACCTAGAACTGACTCAGAGTGAGATCAGCATCAAGTTATTTGGAAGAGAGGGTGTCCCTTATTGAGCTTGTTTATCTCTGCCAGATATGCTATAAGGACACATGAGTTGAAGAAAGACAAGAGATGAAACTCATATGTTCACGTGGCTGTCTGTTAAAAGTTTTAGTAAAGTGTTATTGGAGAAAAATTTAAACTATATGGTAAAATGATAGTCTATTTCTGTTATTAGGGACACTCTGGGCCACCAGGGCCATAGATTATTTTGAGTTCTTCATGCCTGTGCTGATTTGAGACCTTAATGAACAAAGAAAAACCTGGTAGTGGTAATAGATTGTGAACTGGCCTGTTTTCAGTCATCTTTGTATATTTAGAATTTACAGTTACTGCAGTGTTTCCCATTTTTAACACTTCTCATTTTCATTTTCTGGAAATGAATCTCTCTTTAAAAAAAAATAGTCTTTATTTTTAGAGCAGGTTTAGGTTTACAAATAAAGCAGGAAATTCAGAGTTCCCATATACCCCCTTATCTCCCCCACCAATGGTTTCCCCTGTTACTAACATCTTGCTTTAGTGTGGCACATTTATTACCATTGCTGAGCCAGTGTGATACATTATTGCTAACTAAAGTTCATATGCTAGATCAAGGATTTTTCTTTTTTCTTTTTCTTTCTTTTTTTTTTTTTTTTGGTGTCCCTCGGGTCCAGGGATCCAAACCCTTGACCTTGACATTATAGTACTGCACTCTAACCAGTTGAGCTAACCGGCCAGCTCCTAAAGTTCATATTCTAGTTTACATTATGGTTCACTGTGTTGTACCTTCTGTGGGTTTTGAAAGTGTATGTTGACATGTATCTACCATTACAGTACCATACAGAATAGTTTTACTGCCCTAAAAATCCCCTGTGCTCCACCTATTTATTCCCCACCCTTCAGCCCCTAGCAACCACGGATTATTTTACTGTTTCTGTAGTTTTGCCGTTTACAGAATGTCATATAGGAATCATAAAGTATATAGCCTTTTCAGATTGGCTTCTTTCATTTAGCAATATGCATTTAAGGCTCCTCCATGTCTTTTTGTGGTTTGATAGTTCATTTCTTTTTATCACTGAATAATATTCGATTGTATGGATGTACCACTGTTTATCCATTCGCCTATTGAAGGACATCTTGGTTGCTTCTAAGTTTTGGCAATTATGAATTATGGCTGCTATGAACATTCATGTGCAGGTTTTTGTGTTGACATAGTTTTCATCTCATTTGGGTAAGTACGAAGGACTATGATTGCTGGATCATATTGTAAAAGTATGTTTAGTTTTGGAAGAAACTACCAAACTGTCTTCCAAAGTGGCTGTGCTATTTTGCATTCCCACCAGCATTTGGTCCACAATTTTTTTTTTTTTTTTTAAAGATGACCGGTAAGGGGATCGTAACCCTTGACTTGGTGTTGTCAGCACTACGCTCAGCCAGTGAGCGAACAGGCCATCCCTATATGGGATCCGAACCCGGGGCCTTGGTGTTATCAGCACCGCACTCTCCCGAGTGAGCCACGGGCCGGCCCCACAAATTTATTTTTAAATTTATTTTTAATTTTTAAAATTTTTTGGCAGCTGGCCGGTATGGGGATCCAAACTGTTGCCCTTGGTGTTAAAACACTGCAGTCTAACCAACTGAGCTAACTAGCCAGCCCACATAGGTTATTTTGAGTTGTCTATGCCTCATCTGTCCCTACACTGATTTGAGACCTAGTAGTGGTAGTAAGAGTGGACTGGTATGTGTTCGGTCATCTTTTTATATTTGGAATTTACAGCTACCCACCGTGTTCCCCATTTAAAACACTTTCTATTTTCTTCCAGATCTTTTGATCTGGAAATGCATCATTTCCATTGTTAGACTTCTGAACAATGATTGATTTGTTTTTTATAGGTCTCCATATTCCTTAAAATTTAGAATGGATCACACAACTCAATAACAAAAAACCAAAAAAAAAAAAAAGACAAAACAACAAAGAACAAATAACCTGATTTAAAAGTGGACAAAGGGCCTGATTTTTTTCCAGAGAATACATAAAAATCACCAACAGGTATATAAAAAAGTGCTCAACCTCACTAACCATCAGGGAAATGCAAATCAAAACCGCAATGAAATATCACCTCACACCTGTTAGGATAGTTATTATCGAAAAGAGAAACAAATGTTGGCGAGGGTGTGGAGAAAAGGGAACCCTTGTATTCCATTGATGGGAATATAAATTGATACAGCCATTATGGAAAACAGTATGGAGATTTCTCAAAAATTAAAAATAGAATTACCATATGACCTTGTATTCCATTGGCGGGAATATAAATTGATACAGCCATTATGGAAAACAGTATGGAGATTTCTCAAAAATTAAAAATGGAACTACCATGTGACAGCCATCCTTCTACTGGGTATATACCCCAAGAAAATGACATCAGCACCTCCTAGAGACATCCTTGCTCCCACGTTCATTGCAGCATTGTTCACAATAGCCAAATTATGGAAATAACCTAAGTGTCCATTGATGGTTGAATGGATAAAGAAACTGTGATAAATATATATACACATACACACAATGGACTGTTATTTAGCCTTAAGAAAGGAAGAGATACTGCCATTTGCAACAACATGGATGAACCTGGAGATCATTATGTTAAGTGAAATAAGCCAGACAGAAAGAAAAATATTACATGATCACACATATATGGAATCTAAAAAGAGTTGAATACATAGGCACAGAGAATGGTTGAACAGTGGTTGGTTACCAGGTGTGGAGAGGGGGAGGAAATGGGGGACATGTAGGTCAGAGGGTAAAAACTTGCAGTTATGTAGGATGAATACGTCTGGAGAACTAATGAATAGTATGATGGGCTGGTCGGTTACTCAGTTGGTTAGACCATGCCTTTATAATACCAAGGTCTTGGGTTCAGATCTCCAGACCAGCCAACCGCCAAAAAAAGAAAAATAAAGTCTAATGTATACTATGAGGACTGTAGTTAATAATGTTGTACCATATACTGAAAATTTGCTAAGAGGATTTTAGGTGCTCTTACCACACACAAACATAGTAACTACGTGAGGTGATGGATATATTAATCTTCTTGACTGTAGTAATCATTTCACCGTGTATTTGTATATCAAAACATCATGTACACCTACCACACACAGAAATAGTAACTATGTGAGGTGATGGATATATTAATCTGCTTGACTGTAGTAATCATTTCACCATGTATTTGTATATCAAAACATCATGTTGTACACCTTAAATATGTACAATAAAAAAATTTTTTTTGGAATGGAGATATAGCTTTGGGAAACCTACAAGTCAGTTGTTCTTCAAAGTGAGTGATGGCTTCTGTTTTAAGCAGTGTTTGAAAGTGCTATTGGACTTCATTTTCCATCCTCCAGTCTTATGGATAAAACCTTCTCTTATTTTCTTCAGTGAATTATACTTAATTCTGTAGCAAATTAAGTACTCATTAAACATTTTATTGAAGGAATGTTGTCCATTTGGTAGATTTAAGGCTTGAATATTAGAAAGGATATTTATTTTAATTTTTAAAATATTTTTTTTGGTGACTAAACGCACTAACTTTCCGTAGATAAAAATGTTGATGTCATCTGTTATCTAAATATGTATAGATTTGAATCTTCATTAAGGACTAATATAACTTGATTGTGTTGCTTTCGGATAAGAGATGGCTAGAGGCATGTAAGATTGTTTTTTGGATTATCCTAGCTAGTTAGAGTTAAAATCAGTTTTGTGATGTTTTTGATAGCAAATTAAGATACTTTCTGAAATATCCGATACTAGCCTTTTGTATTTTTCATATTTGTTGTTGAAGGAATGTAATAACAGTCATATAATTTCTTTTTCACAGATTATCTTGACAATGGTAATAATAAAATGGCAATTCAGCAAGCAGACAAACTGTTGAAAAAACATAAGGATCTTCATTGTGCTAAGGTAATTTCATTTACCCTTGATTAGGTGGGTTATATATGTAATTCTTTACCTTGAAGAGAAAGGATGTTTAATATCTTGTGATTTATATTTGGTGGGTTGTATTTGTAATTCTTTACCTTAAAGGGAAAGAATGTTTAATAATTTGTGACTATTTTTCAGAGTACTTTGTAGGCCATTTATTTTCCTGATCACTTACATGCCATAAATAGTATTTAATTAAAAGCTAGCTATTTATTTCTTTGGCTATTACTTATCTAACTTAATTGTTTTCAGAATCCTTTTAAGTTATGTTGTATACTGTTTTTTTTCTTTCTTTTTTTGGCAGCTGGCCTATATGGGGATCTGTACCCTTGGCCTTGGTGTTATGAACACCACACTCTAACCAACTAAGCTAACCGCCAGCCCTAGTGTACTCAATGTGACTGAAATAGGAAAACAGTAAAAGTAGGTTTAGTTGATCAGCAACCTAGGTATACCTTACAGCTTGTACTTTCAGATTGGCTTTCTCTGGTTTATATGTTTTTCTTTCCTTAAAAATGAATTTTTCTTTTCTATCAGGTTTTAAAGGCAATTGGTTTACAGAGAACTGGAAAACAAGAGGAAGCCTTCACCTTGGCACAGGAAGTAGCAGCCCTTGAACCCACAGATGACAATTCGCTGCAGGCACTAACTATTCTTTACCGGGAGATGCATCGACGTACGTTTCTTTCTTTTCATTGTTTTTAAACTTGAGTTTAAGTTTTGTATATTTCTGATTGAGTTCTCTTTGGTTTTGTCCGATGATTGGAATGGATGACGATAGGCAGAATAATGGATTAACCATGGTTTGTGAAGACTAGACAGAGGATAGTTTACATGTATTAGGATCCTTGAATTGGAATGAGGATTAAAGTGAGTTCATTTGTGACATCTTGATTTACTAAATGGAGACCTTACTCTGGTTTTCACTTGTTAATATGGAAAATTTCAAACATAGGCACAAATAGAATAGCATAATAAATCCCTTTGTACCCATTATTCACCTTCAGCAATTATTAGCACTTTTATTTTGTCTGTACCCCTCTTCCAGCCAGATTATTTCAAAACGTATCCTAGATAGTCTCATTTCATCTGTGAATAGGTTGCTTTAAAGTTTTCATCGTTGATTTCTTAAATATTTTATTATGAAAATTTATTATATATTTATAATATATACTATGAAAAATATATTTTATGTAACATACTAGTAAATTTGGTGTGTAATAATGAGCACTCATGAAACTACCACCCAACTTGATAGAGCATTCTCGTTATTAAGGAGGCTTCCTGTGTATGTTCCTTATCAATTTCATTTCCCCTTTTATCTTTCAATAGTTATTTGCTATTTTGAATATCTTTTATTCTCTTACTTGTCTTTAAATTTTTATCACATTTGTTTCTCTAAGTAATATGTTATTAGTTTTGCTTAATTTTTAACTTTACATAAATGAATTTGTACTGTATATATTTTGTGACTTGCATTTGTCATCTAATGTACAAGTGGCTGTAGTTAATTCATTTCACTGCCACAAAATATTTCATCAGGTGACTATACCACAATCTAGGAGTAGAATTGTGAGTCATAGGGTAAGTGTATGTTTAGTTTAAAGAAAAAGAAAGATAATATCAACTTGTTTTCTTAATGTACTGGCAGTTTATGAGTTTCAGTTGTTCCACAGCCTTGTCAACACTTGACGTTCTTTTTTTTTTTTTGTCTTTTTTCGTGACCGGCAACGGATCGCAACCCTCAGTGTCGCGCCCGTACCGGACTGGGACCGGCCACGGGATCGCAACCCTCGGTGTTGCCCCCACCCCTCGCTCAGCCAGTGAGCCGCCGGTCTGTATGTGGGATCCGAACCCTCGGCGGGAGCGCCACCGCGCTTCCCAAGCGGCGCACTATAGCAGTGCGCCACCGGGCCGGCCCAACACTTGACGTTCTTGACCTTTAAAATTTTTGCCAAATAGTGGGCAGAAAAAGTTATTTTAGAGGTAAATTTTGTTTTTAATTCTTACAAAAGATAAAACTTAAGAGTTGAGGTATTATGTCTGATTATTTAGAGATTATATTGATTTAGGGATATGGACTCCCCCCAGTATTTAAAAAAAATTATCTGTTCTTCAAATATTGTTTGAATGTTTCTCTGTGACAAGTAAGTATCAGAGTCAAAGATGAAAGATGCTGTTTCTGCCCTCATGTTACTCATAGTCTATAAAGGAAAATAGATCAATAGATAGTATATTGCATTATGTATTAATAAATACTATAATAGAGTTGTTTATAAGATTCTAAGATGGCAGAGAAAGGCAGTGATCAAATTGGGATGGAGGAGCAGAGATGGTGTTTAGGGAAGGTTTTGCAGAGAGGGTTACATCTGAACAGATCTTGGATGATATTCACTGAGTAGAAAAGAGGAAAGGAGAATCCAGTTAAGAGGGGAACAGCGTAAAGGCATGGAGGTATGATACAACACAGGGAAGCTGCTACAAATAGTTTGATTAGGCTAGATGATAAAGCGCTGGGGGAAAGGGTTAGGAAGGAGGCAGAGAGGCCAGATTCTGGAGGGTATTGTAGAGTCCTAACCTGTTCCATACTTCATCTGAATACCTAACCAAGAGAAGAGTGTTAATTGAGATAAGCAGGTTGTAAAATTGCCTTCTCTCACTCTCCTCACATCCTCCTCAACAAAGGATATATCTCTAAGAATATGTATAAAAATGTCACCAGGATATAGGGCTGTAGATACTTTCATCTTAATTTGTGTGTGTGGGGTTTTTTTAAGCAGATATTAATTTCATGATCCCACAAAATATGTTTTAGATAAATATATATACACATATATAAAATAACAAAAAGGATAAGTTCATGTAATAGCAATATTAAGGTAAATTTTGAAAAAAGGGGAAAAAAAATATTACTTGAACATAGAGCTTGTTTTCATTTTTGGATAGTGTAGCTTTACATCTTGCCAGAAAATATATACAATTTTGCATTTTGCTTTTTGGAGACATTGTTTTGATGTGGTTTAACAGTTATAGTTCCTTAATATGTTTTAACCATGACTTGCTTCTGCATTATTCCATTCTAATGTGTTACGAGAATGAAGTAGTCTAGTGTTAAATGTTTTAGAATGAAATGTCTAATTTTTATACTACCTTTGTCGCTGCTTAAAGTAGTTACAACTCCTTAGCTTATATGTATGTTTATTTTGAGTTTGGTTTATCAGTCTGAGGTGACAGGGATTTTACAAATTTAATGTCATGTTTCATTAGGGCAAGGGCTTTTGTTTGTTTTGTTCATTGCTGAATCCCTAGCACCTAGGATAGCATATGCACAGTAAATATTTGTTAAATAAATGGCTGATTTGTACAAGAGCACTTTTAAAAGTTTGTGGAAATATAGAATTAAAAGATAAAGCAGGGCCAGCCCGTGGCTCACTTGGGAGAGTGTGTTGCTGATAACACCAAGGCCACGGGTTCGGATCCCTATATAGGGATGGCTGGTTAGCTCACTTGGGAGACTGCGGTGCTGACAACTCCAAGTCATGGGTTAAGTTCTCCTTACCAGTCATCTTTTAGTTAAAATAAATAAATAAATAAATAAATCTTTCCATGAACTTTTTTTTTTTCCTTTTTTGTCTTTTTTCGTGACCGGCAACGGATCGCAACCCTCAGTGTCGCGCCCGTACCGGACCGGGACCGGCAACAGGATCG